CATAAGTGACATAATATACAATAATATAATGTATATAATAATATACAATCATATATCCAAACAGTCATTTTTTATATATGGCTTTCAAATTCACTAATGCTTTTAAAAAATGTTTTCTTCTGACCCATTAATGTAAGAAATGTAATGTAATTGAAAGGAGGGAAATAAGAATTTAGTTAAGTGTCTATTCTGTGCGAGGCACTGTTTTAAGCATTTTATAAATATTATCTCACGTGATCCTCAAAATAGCCCTGGGAGAAAAGTGTTATTATTATCCCCATTTATAGCTGAGGAAACCAGGGCAACAGAGATTAAGTGACTTGCCCAGGGTCACACAGCTAGTAATTTTCTGAGGTCAAATTTGAACTCTGGTATTGTTGGCTCCAGGCCCAACCCTCCACTATTCCATTCAAATACCTCAGAAAGTTACCTTACAAATAATAATATCAAAAATTAAATCCTAAAATATGTTAAAAGAATACTGCACTGTAATGAAGTGAATTATTTGTGTAAAGTTCAGAATCCTTTAAGTAAAGAGGCAGCTAGGTATCACAGTGGGTAGACTGCTGGACTTGGAGTCAGAAAGACCTGAATTTGAATCTTGCATCAGACATGTGACCCTGGTAAGTCATAATCTCTTTGGCTTTACTTTCCTCATTTCTAAAATGGGGATAATAATAGTGCCTACTTCACACTGCTATGATAACTGTGAGTTAGCATTTGTAAAGCATTTTGTAAACCTTAAAGTACTATGTTATAGATGCTAATTATGATTATTTAAGCCGAATTTAATGGCCTGAATTTTTCTATATAAATAGCCCCCATATCTTGCTTAATTTATTCCTACAAACCAAATGATAAGGAGGATCATTGTTTGGGACATCATATTTTCCCATAAAACAATATTATAATCAAGACTGCATTCCTGATCAATGACATTACAAAATAAATCATAGGTATGACTGTAATTTTATCAAATGCATTTAATATAAACCTCCATAATAATTTCAAATAATAAAATTATGCTCCAAGTCCTGCAAAATGGGCATGGATGTACTACTGATTCCAAGGTAACAAAATATACAAAGAAATACAAATTTTCTTAGTGATAAGCAGAAGCATTCCAAATCTTCCCAGTGACTTCAGAGTCATGTTTTGATCATTCTTTTCAAAGACAAACAGACATTTGAAGGCCATAGCACTTTAGCTATAAGACTTTGTAAAGAGATCTCGAATCTAGTATTTTAGTTTATTCTTTCATTTCTTTGTTCTTTCATTCTTTCTTAGCCTCCAACAAAATGAAGGGCTGAATTACATTACTAACGAAACTTGGTAGCGACAGAAAAAGAAATTCCAATCAAAATAACTATAGAGTCATAAAAAATATCTGAAGTCTATTTACTAAGATACACTTAGGTCTTCTATGAATAAAACTACAAAATACTTTTTAAAGAAATGAAGGAAGAAAAATAATTGGAGAGATATTAATTGCTAAGTTTAGGTTGTGCAAATATAATAAAAATTATAATACTACCTAAATACATTAATAGATTGGTGCCATACCAATCACACTACCAAGGTGCTATCTCATAGCTCTAAACAAAATAATAACAAGATTCATCTGGAGGAACAAAAGGTCAAGAATTGGAAAAGAAATAATGAAAAAAGAAAGGAGGAAGGGGGCTTGGCAGTACCAGATTTCAAACTATACCATAAATCAGTAATATGAAAACAACTTGGTACTGGCTAAAAAACAGAATTCTAAGGGAAATGATGAAAAAAGTAGGAAGGAAGGGAGTCTAGTAGTACCAGATTTCAAACTATACCATGAAGCAGTAATCATAAAAAAAAAAAAAAATTTGTTACTGGTGAAAAAAAAGAGAAGTTGATCAATGGAACAGACTGATCACACAAGACTCATCTCCCACTTGAACTGGTAGGATGAGGGGCCAACGGGTAGCTACTTTCTTCTCCCTCTTTAGGATCCAGGTTGTAGGGGTAAGCCTGAAGGACTGAGACTGAGGATTTCTAGTTCTGTTACTCACAAGCCCCTACACAATGTGCTCTCCATTGATTATTGGCCAGAACAAATAAGATTTTAGACAGAGTTTTATTCCCGTAAGTAGATACAGTAAGTACAACTATTACAGAAAACTTCACCCCAACAGAGGGCACAGTCTTGTATTGAACACACAAGAACCCTGAGGAGGGTGGACTCATAGAGTTCCTATGGTCAAATGGTAAACTCATAGCTCCTGGTTGCTTGAAGGTCTTTTCTCCCTTTGTGGAAGGAATCTTTAGGAAGCTCCTCTCTTGGGTTTATTTGCTATAGATAAAGGCACCAACTATTTCAGTAAGGACTCCCTAACTGACTAAAACTGCTAGGAGAACTAGAAAGCAATATGGTAGAACCAGGGGCAGGGAACCTGCACCCCTGAGGTCACATGTGGCCCTTTAGGTCCTTTAAGAATTTGTTCTGTGAAGTTTGGACTCAATCAAGGGGCTGTACTTGAGGACCTACAGAGCCACATGTGGTCTCAAGGCCAAAGGTTCCCACCCCGGACCAACTTCTTATGTCATATTGCACAATAAATTCAAAATGAGTATATTATTTAAATTTAAAATATTAAATTAAAATTAAATTTAAAAATATTAAAAAGTCAGAGTACAAGTTAGAGACACCTTTCATAACTCTAGCTTAGGAAAGAATTCTTACCTAAACAAAGGATAAAGGTAAGCATAAAAGACAAAATGGACGAGCTTGATTATATAAAATTGAAAAGCTAACGCATAACCAAAATAAATAGGGCAATAAGGAAAATAATTAGATAAAAATCTTCACAATAGATTTCTCCTTTATATATACCTAAGTATTTGTAGAATTGATATAAATACCTAAGAATAAAAGGAAGAGGTTGAACTCAATAGCTTTTAAGATTCCTTCCAGCTCTAAACTTACGATCCATTCCCCAAAAGATAAGTGGGCAAAGAATATAAACAGGAAGTTTTCAAGAAAGAAAGAAACAAATATTAGGAAAAAATGTAAACTACCAACAACCATGTGAAAAAACTCAAAATCACTGAGATAAATGAAAATTAAGTCTGAGGTTCTATCTCACACCATCAAACTAGCAAAAGTGATGAAAAGGGAAAATAACAATTGTTAAGATGTTGTGGGAAGACATGTATACTCACAGACTGTTGAAAGAATTATCAATTGGTTCAACTATTAACATTATGCCCCCAAACTCACTAAACTATCCTGCTATTAGACACATACCCAAGGAGGCAATGGTAGAAGAAAAGGACCCATATGAACAAGAATATTTAAAGTGGCAACTTCTGTTCTAACAAAGATCTGGAAACAAAATAGGTACCAATCAATTGGGGGATGAGTGAGCAAAATATGGTATCTGAATATAAGAAAATTTAATTGTGCTATAAGAAATGATGAATGTCTGAGAGAAATATGTAAAGACTTGTATGAACGAACATAAAGTGAAATGAGCAGAACAAGGAGAACAATTTACATGATGAGCTCAATAATAATGAAGGAAGAGGAAACTTTGAAAGACCTCAGAATCTTTACCAAACAAAATAGCAACCAATCATGACTTCAAAAGAGTCAGGATAAAACATACCTCACCCTTCTTGACAGAGAAATGACAGAGGTACACAATATTATGTACCCTCAGACATGGTCAATATTTTGATCGGTTTTGTTTCACTGCACATATTTATAAAAGTGAGAGCTTCTACTTGAAAAGGGGAAGAAGATTGGTTGGTAGGTAGTGAAAGATATTTAAAAAGCATTAATGAAACATTTTTTTTTAATGCAGAGTAAAAAGGAAGTACTTTTTGATGGAAAGATAAATAGCACAACTTTGTTACTACCTTGTTAGATATTATATATCTATATATATACACATACATGTATATACATACATATATATGAGAAATTCAATTTCTTATACAATACTTTTTCCTGTTCTTTGTATCGTGTAACATTTGAGTTTGGTGATAAGCCCACAATTAAAAAAAAAATAAAAGGCATCCCTGAAAGGGAAAATAATTTACTTTAGTATATTAAGCATTTATTAAATGCCAAATATTTCAAGGCACTGAGCTTGACGCTGAAGATACAAAGATGAAAAAGTATGATCCTTATCTACAAAATGCTTGTACTCTTCAAGAGTGGCAAGCTGCTGTTGTCATTCAGTTGTGTCCAACTCTTTGTGACCCTGGGGGTCATAAAGTCCATGGGATTTTCTTGGCAAAGACAATGGAGTGGTTTGCCATTTCCTTCTCTAGTGGATTAAGGAAAACTAAGATTAAGTGACTTGCCCAGGATCACACAACTACTAAACATCTAAGGCCATATTTGAACTTAGGTCTTCCTGACTCCAGGCCCATCACTCCATCCACTGAGCCACTTAGCTGCCTCCTAGAATGTTAAGACACATACACAAAAACATACACAAAAATCAAGTCAGACGGTGATGAATGAATTGGAAAGATCAAAGAGAAAAGTCATGAGAGACTTTTGGAAGAATCACAACTAGCTAGGAATACCAATGGAGGCTTTACAGAAATGGCTTCTAAGTTTTTCCTTAAAGGAACTAAGGGGACAATTTCAACTGGGGAAGGTATAGAAAGCATCAATTCTAGGTATGGGTTGGGGGGCTGATAGAAATGCATCGAAGTGGGGGAATGCAAAATGAGATAAAGATCAGTTAGTTTTTCAGTTTGGCTGAAATGTAGAATATATGAATGGGGAATAGAATGAAATAAAACTAGAAAGGTTGATAGCAGTGAGGTTATAGTATAGAGGGCTGAGAATGCCATACAGAGTTCATATTTTATCCTACAGGCAATTCTACAGCCACTGGAGGTTTCTAAACAGGAGACTTGGGCCTGTACACAAGAAAGACAGTACATGGAATAAAGCACTGGGTTTAGAGTCAGAGGCCTTGGATTTTCATTCCAACTCTGTCACTTACTAGCAATACAGCCATGTGTCAATCATGTATCTTTTCTGAGTCTCAGTTTCCTTACCTGTAAAATAAAAAAATTTCATCAGATGACCTTTAAAGTCCTTTCTAGCCATAAATTCTACTTTGGCCACAATGTGAAGGATGGATTTTAAGGGCAAAAGTGTTCTGACTCAGAAGGGGAGTACTGGGAATAAAAGGAATGGAAAGAAGTATTATGGACATAGCATCCAGTTGTTAAAACAAATGACTTTCTTTATGAAAATCACACCACTAACGAAAAGTAAAAGAGCAGATATTCATGGTAACAAAAGTCAGTCATAGGTTCATAAAATTTAGAGCATAATAAGCTTGGTTCAAGTACACCTTTAAAGGTATACTATATAACTTAAAAAAAAATACAGACATACCACACTAGGGTTTTAAGTGAAAAACCCTCAGAAAGCATTAGGAAAAAACTGTATGGACCTCAACTGAGCATGCTCATGGTACCCAAAGTAAAACCCTTAAAAAAAAATCTATAAAACAGAAAAAAAAAAGTTTCCAAGTAGTACAGGGTGTCCCAAACTTTCATTAGCTGCTGCTCAGTTACTGAAAAGATAATATTTGTAATCCTAGCCTTGAGATTATTCAAAAAATGAGCTTTTAATGTTTACAAAACTGTTTTGAAGTGATCCCACAAGAAAAAAAAATCTAATGGAGATAAATCAGGTGACTGAAGAATCCTAGCAACAGGACTTCCTCTAATAATCCAGATGAGAAAGTGTCATCCAGAAACTGTTGAACACACAAGCACAAGGTACCCTGTCTTGTTAGATTAAATTTGGAAATTTATTATTCAAAATTCACAAAACTAAATGTGTAAATGAGATTTAAATAATTGAAGTTTAAAATTATCTTTTTTGAAAGTTTATGATATTTATACTTTTTGAAGTTAGTAAAACTTACAACTGTACCAAGACTTTTGGGGGACCTTGTAAAATCAGGCCTTTATTACCTCTTACCCAGACTACTGTAATAATATCCTAATTGATCTTGCTTCTAGTCTTTGCCCTTCTCCAATTCGTGCTTCACTTAGCAGCTAAAATAACCTTCTTAAGGCATGGGTATGACAATGTCATTCTCCTGCTCAAAAACTTTCAATGGTTCCCTACTGTCTCTGGGATAAAAACATAAACTTCTCAGCTAGATATTTAAAATTCACAAATTTGGCTCCAATCGACTTTACTAGCCATTATTCTCCTTTGTGCACTTTACATGTCACCCTGAACTTGAAAGACATTGGGGCCCCCCCATCCCTAAAAGCACCTTCAAAATCCTCATCCTTACTGCTGAGTTTAACAGCTAAGCCTTCCAGTAGTTAATAGCTTTCTTCCTCCTCAAATTACTTTGTATTTACTGTTCTGTAAACTAATGGGCAGCTAGGTGGTAAATTGGATAGAGTGCTGGGCCTAGAGTCAGCAAGACCTGAGTTCAAATGTAGCTTCAGACACTTACTAGTTGTGTGACCTGGGGCAAGTCACTTAACCTCTTTGGCTTCAGTTTCCTCACCTGTAAAATGAGCTAGAGAAAGAAACAGCAAATTACTCCAGAATCTAATCAAGTCAGCAAGTACTTAGGAAGTGCTTACTATGTGTTCAGCACTGTTCTAAGTGATAGAGATACCAAGAAAGCAAAAATATGGTCTCTGCACTCAAGATCATATTTGAATGAGGTCATAAGGAGTTAGATACAACTGAAATGACTGAACAACAACAATGTGTATACCACATTTTATCACCCAGTGGAACATAAACCATTGGAAGGGCCTATGTTGTTTTTTAACTTTGTATCTCCAGTGCCTAGACAACTGTAGGTGTTTGATAAATATTTGCTGAATTATATCATTGCACAACTAATGTCTTCCAAGGTAAGTAACACATAATTGTCTAACTTCTCCTTTGCTGATATGTAAGACTTATTTAGTATTGGCAAACTTGTCGAAGGAAAGTTTTCCTCCTGAGACATAGCTCACCAAAAAATGTGTGTGTGTGTGTGTGTGTGTGTGTATTTCTAATTTTTAGTAGTAATTACTGCCTTATAGAACATGAAGAATGGCTACCAACAAACTTTACAGCATCCACATTTTAAAACTGAGAGATTACCTTCTATGAGCTTATCTCTTCTAAATCAGCCAATTAAACTGACAATTGGTAATGTTGAGTATAACAGAGAAAAAAAACTACAAATCTAATAGAAAGAGTATACTTACATTTCATAGATAAATCTAACTTTATGGTTGAAGCAAAGTTTCTGAGACGAAAGGGTTTATATGATTCAAGATAGTAATTACATTAAAAAGATCTCAAAGGTTTTTTACGAGCATTTGCATGCCACAGAGTACAGCAAAAACAAAAAACAAACAAACCAAAAAACATGGATTGTACTTGAAACTACAAAACAAAAAAACCCCAACTATTATGTACAACTTGCTTTTCTTTTGAAATATGTAATAAATTCGACATGTAATTTTCAAGGCTATCCTTTGCTATCCTATGATTCTTTCAGGCCTTCTACTCTCTTCTGTGTATTTTTTTTTAAATGCTTCAATGACCTTCTTTTCTTTCTTTCCTTTTTCTTCCTAATTTTTTGGGGGGCTATTGTATCCCTAATTCACCTTCTCTCTCCTACCTGACTGTTAACTGCCTCTCTCTGACCATTATATTATTTCAGGAAAGCCCCAGTTATGCCTCACTTCCCTCCTGACTCCACTGTCATCTCCTCCACAGCCTGATCAAAAGACTTGTTTCCTTCCCTTTCTTTTTTCTCCAGGCCAATCTACTCATTTATGGCCCCAATCACCATCCTGTAACCTTCCCAACCCAAGTGCCCCTCCAGGGACATCATTCCTCTGCTTGCATGGTCATCTTCAACAGACTATAAGCTCCAGTGCTTGGCACATATTAAGAACTTAATGCTTCTTCTTTCATTGATTCACATTGGGTTAGCAGAACCCATATCATCACGAATAGTTAACACGAGTGTTCTGAGCATAACAATAAATAATATTTTATCAGCTTTTTTTTCTGACATGTCATTCCCAATGACCTTAATGCTCCACTAAACTGCAATTACTAAACATGTACTTAAAAACAGTGTTGAGGTAAGCATGGATCTTAGTAAAAATCATAAAGAAGTCAACTTTCAACCAAATGAAGCAATATTGTTCTGGCTAAACCCCAGGAAATATCAATTACGTTCAGGGACATATGAGAACTCAATTTCTTTCTCTCACAAACGTCAGGAAAATGACATATAAACATAGCTAGCCATCTGTTCTCTATTCTTGGACAAGGAAAAAAAATCTGAATAAGTATCATGCTCAATTATGTAACAAACAAATTTATAAAAATAAAAATTAATCACACAGGAGTCTGAAAACCTTGGGTTACTTTGTACTAAGATTGGTCTTTTGTGATAAATGTATTGAGTTTGACATAAAAATACATACAAACATAGGAAACTAGCTCACTTAGTCTTTTATTGATGACTTTAGTTTTTATATCACAATCATTTTGAGATATACTCCTTCCATTCCTTCTCCCCATCCCAAAATGGGTCTTTCCTAACCACCTACTCTTTTTTAGTTGAGCCTGGCTATCCTTATCTCCCCTAGATTAGAAGTACATATGCCTCCCAGGGCCCAATCCTAACACCAACTAGTACAGAAGCTCACTGGGGGATCACAACATTTGTGCTTGAAGTTAGTAGTTACCCAATTTACTTTAACCCTACTATAGCTCAGCCCAAACTCAAGCAACCCATCAATGTGAGCTTCCCCCAGAGGCAGGCATTATCCAGCCTCACTTCCTCTTAAAAAAATCTTCCCAGATTAACCCTAACTGGTCACTCTGGTATCATTAGTTGTCATAGCACTATGAACTAAGTTTAAACTGTCAAACTACATCAACTGATTGCTGTAGATTTAAGTGATTTTAAGTAATTTCATAAGTGTACATTTGATTTCCCCAATTAGACTGGAGGAAGTCCCATGTAGTAAAAAGAATTCTGAAGAGTCAAAAAACCTAGGTTAAAAATCTAAATCTGCCACTTGCTATTTGTGTGACTTTCGGTCACTTAACTTTTCAAGGCCTTCATTCATTTTCTTCTTTGTAAAAAGAGGGAGTTGGAGGAAATTATCTCTAAGGTCTTGTTGGTCTACCGTGCTTTTTGAACATTTAATTTTAAATTCTTCAAGGACAAGAAACATATCTTTTATTTCTTAAGTCTTACTTTGTTGTCTCAAGGCATGAAGATTACTGTGGATTCACCCTTTTTAGCAGTTGAACTGTTAACATAAAAAATGGTATAGCACCTTATATTACGTTTAAATTCAATACTTAGAGTTGGCTCAGGATGCGACTCATTTCCCACTTGGACACACGGAGGTATCACATGTCCCCTGCCACACCTGAAGCTATGTTCCATGATGGGTGACCCAATTGTATTGTGTAAAGCCTACTCAAGAGGCCCATCTAGGTATAGGACGGCTCAGTTAGCTTGTAATATCTATCTGCCCTGTCTGTTTGTCTATCTCTCTATCCATTCATCTATCCATTGGTCCATTCATCCATCCATCTGTCTTTCCTTCCTTCCCTCCCTCCTTTCTTCCTTCCTTCTTCCCTCTCTCCTTCCCTCCCTCCTTCCTTGACATAAGTCTTTGTCCCAGAGAGAAGAAGGTTGTCAGGTTACTGCTCCCTGTTTCTGTGTGTGGACTGGACATCCTTGGAGGCCTGGGATCTGGGTTTCAGCAGCTTCTCCTTACCAGACTTTGCACACAGAAAGTAAGTGTCTTCAGTAGAATGTAAGCTCCTTGAGGGCAGGGATAGTTGTATCTTGGGTTTTGCATCCCTTATGCCTAATGCAGTACCCAGAACTTATTATTTAATAAATGCTTATTGATGATTTGATAACAAAAAATTACTGTGGATTCTCAAAGGGCATACCAGGGGAGTGCATGAAAGTTCTGTCAGGTCCTACTAAGTTGGAAAAGCTTCAAGTATGGGCTTATGATTAACTGTGTGT